TGTAACCCATCAAGTGAGGTCAGGTGTAGAGTTTTCCATTTGTGGCATTATGTTTGCCGGCACTCAAAAAGTTTTGAATTTTGGAGCATTTGGGCTTTCAGATTTTCTGATTAGGGATGCTCAACTTTACTTTAAAGTAACATAATTTATCCTTCTGTAAATATAGTATTTCACTTTCATATTAGTATGCAACATGTTTATATTATTAGACTTTTTTGAAAGAATTCAAACTTCAAGTTTGTTACCATGAAAATATTTTTAGCTCTTACATAGGTAGTAATAGTGACTTAATTTAAAATACTTTCTGTACTCTTATTTGAATATATTGACAATAGCCAATGTAGGTAGCTTTTCTTCATAGTACATCGTTAGTGAAGGAATTACTTCTGAATCTTAATTCCATTACTGTCTTCATATAAGCTCCCAGAACTTTATGGGTGGTAACAAAAATGAATGAACATGGTACTTCTTACTCCCACTCCCCAATGTAACTTCATGGCTTCCTTCATAAACTCCCATTGACTGTGAAAGAACGTGTACTGCAGAGATATGTTGAACTGGAGTATTTCCATAGAACCCTCCCATCAGGGAAGGAGAGTACCAATAACAAACTTTCTGAGAGAGACTTATAGAAAGGTATTTTATTCCAAAAAGGAGAAAACCAGATTAAATACTACCAGTGTCTACAATTACCTGATGATAGTTTTAAAAACCAGTAACAATAAAAGTTAGATAAATTACATATAATTAATGTGTAATGAAATCAACAGTGTCTAGAAATATGGTTTTGGAATGATTGTTCCCAAGCCAACAAAGCTTGTGGGCTGAAGTAAGAAAAAACTGAATGGATCAACAGCAATTCTGTTCATCAAGAGTTAGATTGTAAGTTATCACATATCCTTTTAAGATTTTAAAGGTCTCACTACACAAGGTTAACAAATACACTTTGTGGGTGTATTTTGAAAGTCTTTATTCAGAAGGAGATACATACGGAAGTATTTGGGGATGAAATATCATTAAGTCTCTCATTTATTTTCAACTGGTTTAGAAACAATAATATAACATGCAAGGTGTAAGAGAGAACATGTGTGCAAATAAGGCAAAACGTTAACAAAGGAAAAAATTATATCTCCTTCATCACTTCTTTCATTTATTAAAATGTTTTATTGTAACTGTTGAAGGGAGACCTAAGTCCATCATTGGTTTAAATGATTTTATGCAGACCGGGCACGGTGGCTCACACCTGTAATCCCAGCACTTAGGGAGGCCAAGACGGGTGGATCACGAGGTCAGGAGTTTGAGACCAGTGTGACCAACATGGTGAAAACGTGTGTCTACTAAAAATACAAATATTAGCTGGGCGTGGTTACATGCACTGTAGTCCCAGCTATTCAGGAGGCTGAGGCAGGAGAATCACGTGAACCTGGGAGGCGGAGGTTGCAGTGAGCCGAGATCCTGCCATTGCACTCCAGCCTGGGCGACAGAGCAAGACTCTGTCTCTGGGGAAAAAAAAAAAAAAGATTTTATTTAAATAATTTGAGTATGCCTTGAATTGTTCTTTATAGTGTTTGCCATCTTTCCCCAGGAATTATTGAACCATTTTAACTTAAGTTTATTTTTGAACAGCATGCATTTAGTTTAATGGTAGTAAAACCTCCTAAGCCATAGATCCTCCATCTGTTTCCATATTGAAATGAACAACAAGTTTCTCTAATGTCCAAAGTGCCATTTCTTCATTTTGCCTCTAACTTTTCTTTGGCACATGACGTTGAACCGTATGAAACTTTTTTCCTGACTAATATTTAAGTATGGAGTAAGAGTAATTTTCAGTAATAATTGTGATTTTCTTTCAACATTTTCTCAGAAAGCATATTCTGAAAGTGTGTATTAATATCTGTATGCGTTCTCAGCACAACTCTCTCTTCTAGTCTCTCGATCTAATTTGTTACTAACTTTTTAAAACTTTCTAGACTAAATCTTTTTGCTTCCCTTCAAGCATTTTGCATTATACTACAAATCTTCTGAGACTCGAATAATTTTATCATACGGTTTATATACTCCAACCTTGAAGGTATTTCAACCTTTTTCACTAGCAGCGATACCCTCCTTGACAGATAGTCAGTTATATTAACTTGATTCTATTGTAATTTACATAGTGGTAAAACAAAATAGTTTTAAACTTATAATCAAAATTATAACTGTTTAAAAAATTACCACCTAGAATTCATTTTATGCAATGGGAAAACATACAAAACTGTTTCGATAAATATATGAAATTATATAACTTGGACATCTCTATGTAGTTTTTTCATCCTGTTTAACATGGTATGCCAGCTCTACAGTAGTCATTGACAGGAATTATGACAATGACTCAGACATTGATGATGCCCACCAAGCTTGCAGCATATTTACTATAGATAGTACCTCCATACAGCCCTTTTTTAAAAATTTTAAACCCAAATTTGGTAATTGAAATTAACTAAATCAAAGAAAGCTGTGAAATTGACACATTTATTAGTATACAATATGTGACAGTAGGGAGAATTATTTCTAGGTTCAGATAAATCTGGGTGAGAACCCAGCACTCATCCTTATTAGCCGACATGGAGTTTCTTCAAGTGTATAACTTGGTAATTCAATTGTTTATTTTGCTTATTTATTCAAGCATTCATTCATTTATTCATTTAGTAAATGTATGCTAAGCTGGTTAGCAGGCACAATTCTAGGCACTGTGGCTAAAAAGGGAAGTGAAAAGGGCAACATCCTTGCTCTCAAGGGATTTACTTTCAACTGGGGAGACAGAAAGCAAGGTAGTTACATAATATAACATCAAATAGCAATAGGTCTTGTGAAAAAAATATCAAGGCCTACTCTGGATCAAGTGACCAGGATGGGAAGGCAAAAGGCCTCTCTGAGGAGGTGATATTTGGCAAGAAAGAGAAAGAAAGCCATGCTGTTGGTTGGCAAAAAATGTTCCAGGCCGAGGGAAGAGCAAGTTCAAACGCCTCAGTTTGTATTTCTGTGAATAGTAAATGAAAGTTTATAAACTCCTGACACATCGTTAAGTGCTTATTAGATGTTAGATATAATTTAAAGATAATAAATGTGGATAATTAATTCCACATGTTATTATGTGTCTTCCTTGCTATAATGTACATCCTCCTTTTCATCTATACCATTTTTCTTCTCTGGAATACTGTATTATTTATCTTGTTCTCAGAGCTGTTAGATTGCCCTCTTTTTAATTTGTAGTGAGTTTAACCCTGCTTGCAATACTCAAATGTTATTGCTGTCAGAGGTCCTGTTTTCTCAGTCTTTGCCCTTTTGCTCAACATTTGTATACTCTGAGTAATGCCAAATTGATTTTCTTGCTAAGTGTTGGGCAACTGCCCTCTCTAAACAGTAAATTCACAACTTCTCCATGATGATGATAATGTTGATGCCCTGTGGGAACCTGTTGTTTTGTATGTGTGTGCAGGGAGAGGGGTGATCTAAAAATGGTGTCAAGATGTCATTTGGAAGATGGTACCTACAGAAAACACAGAAAACCCAATCACACCCCACCCCCATCTTCCCCATTTCCCAACATGGTTTCTTGTTTACACTTCTCCGATTCTCCCAGAAGTCAGAGCAAAGTGACTGTTTACGTCTGTCTCTGGCTGTGGAAAAAAACACTACCAGAGCTCAACTCACTTTTATTGATTTCTATATTGTTTGGCTGTAAAATATTTATTCTCACTTGTATCAGTTTAGGTCCAGTCAGAGAAAAAACACAGTCATTTGAACAGTGAAAGTTTATACAAATAATTATTAAATGTAACAGGAGATTATGGTAATGAAGGGATTGGCTAGTCTGAAAGAAAGATGTATTAGTTTGCTCAGGCTGCCATAACAAAATGCTATAGACTGAGTTGCTTAAACATAGGATATTTATTTCTCACGGTTCTGGTGACTGGGAAGTCCATGATGAAGGTACAGCCAATTTGGTTTCTGGCTTTCAGATGACTACCTTCTTGCAGTGTGCTCACATGATCTCTTTTTTGTAATCACGATGGAGTGAAAGAGAAAGCTCTCTGGTGTCTCTTCTTATAAGGGCACTAATCTCATCAAGAGTGTCCTTCTCATTACGCTCCTCATCTAATCCTAATTACCTCCCAAAGAAAGGCCTCATGTCCACATACCGTCATATTGAGGGTTAAGGCTTCAGCATTTGGATTTTCAGGGGAGGGCATAAACATTCAGAGTATAGCAAAAGAGAACCCTTAAAAATAGAGGAATGGCTACCATGAGCCCTGGGGCTGAGACAGCACACCTAAGAAAAAGTCCCTATGTTTTCATCCCCAAAGCAGAGATCCGCACTTTATTGGGAAGGTACGACCATAGTTTACCGAATGGCAGAAATCACTAAGTTGCTATAGTAGCAGAACTTGTCAGAAATCTGTCTTCTGCAAGTTAACAGAGACCCTCCCTCTAAGGTACCTGGGAAACATCGCCAAGCTGCTGGTTGCCAAGCACTGTTGGAGCCAGGTGCTGAAGAAGCCTTGCACACTGCAAGAGCCTGCCAAGTGAGCACACTGAAAATAGGAAGTAAATCCCTTTCTTCCTGAAATGTCTCACCAGTGCCCTCTCTCCACCAAGCTTCAGTGCCCGCTAGTAAAGAAAAACATATCTCAAAGGCCCAGATCTATTTTTACCGAGCAGGCAGAAAGGTACATTTAGAATTAAGAGGCAATAAATCAATAACCAGCACACTGGTATAAACTAATCATAAATGACAGCAGAAGCAGACTAAGTGAAGAATACATTGTTTTTTAGCAGAGTCCACTACTTTGCAGGGCCATTCTTAGTTTGATTCATTGCTATGTGCTGTGTGCCTAGAATTAAACCTGACCCAATATGGATGCTCAGTAAATATTTGTTGGATGAATGAATAATCTAATTGCTTATTTTTTCCCTCTAATGTTTTTCCTCTCTTTCTCTCTCTCTTTTTTTTACTATAGCTGATGGATGCACTGATTGGTCTATCGATATCAAGAAATATCAAGTTTTGGTGGGAGAGCCTGTTCGAATCAAATGTGCACTCTTTTATGGTTATATCAGAGCAAATTACTCCCTTGCCCAAAGTGCTGGACTCAGTCTGATGTGGTACAAAAGTTCTGGTCCTGGAGACTTTGAAGAGCCAATAGCCTTTGATGGAAGTAGAATGAGCAAAGAAGAAGACTCCATTTGGTTCCGGCCAACATTGCTACAGGACAGCGGTCTCTATGCCTGTGTCATCAGGTATCCCTTTAATTATATTACTGCTGAATCAAAGAAATCACAGGCTGCTTTCTCATACTTAAATTTTGCTGCTATCTCTTTTGCCTAAAGCCGTTGTCTCAATATTTGCATGTGTTGCTGCTTTCTAAAATTTAGAATCACAATCATAGAAAGATGGGATTGGAATTTATATTAGACATTATTTCTAGCTTATGGAGAAAAGAGATACCATCTGGGTAGCTACTTATGTTACCAGGAATTACTAAAAACTATGAAATAAAATTTATAGAGGAAGTAAAATGGTGCAATAAAATGTAAGCAAAGACTTGCAGAATAGATGCATAGTTTCTTGCTAAATGAGTTGTAACATTTTGTTATTGCCCTTCACAGACAGATAGAGCATGGATACTTCTGGTTCACACACATTTGTAAAGATGATTTAGGTAATGTGTGTATGTGCACAGGGAGAAGAAGAAAGTATTACCATGTTAGAGAAAATGAAGACTGTGTTCCAGATTGCTTTGCTAACCAAAACTTCTGGATCAATACAAAAATGTTCCCAAGTCTTTCAGGGCCTATACCAAAGTTAATAACAAATTCAGTCCCTGTATCCCCAAGGATACTCACCATACATCTACACATCTTTGTCAGCTTCTAGAAGAGACATATGCACTTTGTTTAATGATAATGCATTGAAGCAGTGTCCATGCAACACATTAGCAGTTAAAAACCTCAGTTTAAGCATTTAGCCCCCCATGGATTGTGTATCACACCCTTCGTGAATGATCGTGTATGTCATTGGACTATTAGAACATTAGCAAAGCTGGGTATAGTCATATAGAAGGTGTGTTTAAATCTATTTATTTGGCTTTCTGTATTTGGGCTTATTCAGAGAAATAAAGAAGAATCTAAAGTAGTTGATACCCAAACTCAGAGAAAGTCTCAGAATCACCTAGTATCTTTTTCAAATAAAAATTTACCACTTCTGAAATCCTGATCAGCAGCTAACACTCCTGTCATGAATATCATGCCTCCCTCTCACTGTCATCTGTAAGAATTACCTGGAAGCTGAGTCATGGCTACAGGTGTGCTAGGACATTGAAATAGGTCAAGTTGCATAAAAGTTAAACAGAAATGTATCTTTCTAACACTGACAACATATATTATGTTAATGCTGGAAAATATAAATGAGTATCTGTAAAGTGCTGTGTTTGGGGAAAATGCCTAATGGATTTTAAAAGAACAAATACATCTGGCCAGGCGCGGTGGCTCATGCCTGTAATTCCAGAACTTTGGGAGGCAGAGTAGGGCAGATCACTTGAGACCAGGAGTTAGAGGCCAGCCTGGCCAACATGGCAAAACCCCATCTCTACTAAAAATCCAAAAAATTAGCCAGGCATAGTGACATGTGCCTGTGATCCCAGCTGCTTGGTTGCAGTGAGCCAAGATCACACCACTGTACTCTAGCCTGGGCTACATTGTGAGACTCCATCTCAAAAATAAAAAAGCAAACAAATGCATCATTCCTTTGGCAACTCCTCTTCTTTCTCTTAGGGTTTACTAATCCTTTTATGATTAAACATAACTCTTAATACAAGTAGAGATTTTGTAGGGGTACAGATCAGTAACTGTCATACTAGTACAGTTAAAGAATACTGTTTGGACTAGCTGTTCCCATGTGACCAATAGTAATTAGATTGTAATTTCATATCTGCTATGTTTCTTTTAAATAATCATTATTTCTGATTGTTCATGCATGTGGTGAGATGATTCTTCAAGATAGGCAAATGCGTGTCCTCATTTATCTGACATTAGAATTGAGCTGGATGTCCATAGTAGAACACTACATTTCGTCACTCATTATTGATGGAAAAATAATGGTGTTTTCACATAGTAATCTGAATTTTACAAACACTGAGGTTGCAGTTCTCTGATGTATTTAAATTACACTATGATCCAATACTCTGAGAAATTGCATTAAAATGCCTCTGGAAGGGCCGCGTATGATGGGTTGTGCCTGTAATCGCAGCACTTTGGGAGGCCGAGGTGGGTGGATCACCTGAGGTCAGGAGTTTGAGACCAGCCTGACCAACACGGAGACACCCTGTCTCTCCTAAAAATACAAAATTAGCCGGGGGTGGTGGCGCATGCCTGTAATCCCACCTACTCGGGAGACTGAGGCAGGAGAATCACTCGAACCCGCGAGGCAGAGGTTGTGGTGAGCCGAGACCGCGCCATTGCACTGGTAACAAGAGCAAAACTCTGTCTAAAAAAAAAAAAAAAAAAGCCTCTGAATTTCCAGTTGCAATAATGAATGAAAGATTGAAAAGTTTCCAAAATGTTGACACTTGCCATATGTTCATATGTCTACATTTTAATAAAAGGTGAAACTAAAAGACAAATACTTGAAAGTTTATGTGTGTCAAGTGGCAATCTAGAGAAAGGGATAAACTGCAGGAAGAGGTACTTTTGTCAGTGAAATTCAAATATGCCAATCGATTTGAAGCGAGTGTTGTTGCATCTTCCTTGTCCAATTTGGAAAGGGGTACTCAAAAGTCTTTACAAACAGCATTTGAAATAGCATGGCTTGGTGTTGATGTGAGAGGCGCTCAGGGGCTGTCAGTTGAGTCACTGACATTTTGGCATATTGCTAGCTATCAAGCCACTAAACTGTCACCATTAGTTTTTAAATAATTCATTTGCAAAGAATTTTAGAGCCTTGAAAATGTTAGCATCCATTCTAGGTTCTAGTCTTTCTGATCAATATAGAGTATTAACTTTTCAATGAAATTGTTTATCAAGCTTTTCATATAAAACTAATTTCCATTTACACTTGAATATATGCAATGAAATGGCATACATAATGGAAACATTTAAGTCTACTATCATTATAATGAACAAGAACTTTATTATTTCCTTCTCTTAATGTCTATTTTGGACAGAATAATACCACATAGTTCTTTGCTCCATACTTCTTGGCTCTTTACTCAGTTTACTCAAATTTATATTTTTCCTTTTTACATGAAAAAGTGAATGAAGGAAAGCTATGTAACAATTTCTTTTGTCTTCTTTTATGTCCATATATAAAAACAAGTTTACTTTTAAAGTAATAAAAATTTGATGGCCAGATGTGGTGGCTCATACCTGTAACCCCAGCACTTTGGGAGGCCGAGGCAGTTGAATTGTTTGAGGCCAGGAGTTCGAGTCCAGCCTGCATAACATAGACCTAGTGTCTACAAAAATAAAACTTTTGAAAAATTAGCCTGGTGTGGTGGTGTGCAACTGTAGTCCTAGCTACTCAGGAGGATAAGGTGGGAGGATTTCTTCAGCCCAGGAGTTTGAGGCTGCAGTGAGCTATGATCACACCACTGCACTTCTGCTTGGGCAACAGAGCAAGGACTTGTCTCTTAAAAATTAAATAAAATAAAATAATAGTTCCATATTCTTGACCTCCAACTTTTTAATTCCCCTTTTCATAGTTATGCACTATTAGCAGTTTCATATGCAAAGCTGGCTGGTACATGTGGAAGCATTCCAGTGCCCCCCAAATGGTAGCATGCTACGTTATTTAGCACCCTATTTTTAATTAAAATTTTATTTTTGAGATAATTGCAGGTTCATATTCAGTTGCAAGACATAACATAGAGAGATCCCATACCCAGATTTACTCGGTGGTAGCATTTTGTGAAACTGTGGTACAGTATCATAATCGGGATATTGACATTGATACAGTCAAGATACAGAACAATGCCGTCATCTCAAGGGCCCCTCCTATTGTTCTTTTATAGCTACATCCATCTCTACCCAACTCCAGTCGCAAGCCCCTGTCAACTACTAATCTGTCCTTTATATTTATAGTTTTGTTAATTTATTAATGCAATATTAATGAGATCATACAGTATAGAACCTTATGGAATTGGATTTTTCACTCAGCATAATTCCTTTGAAATCCATCCAAGTGTTGTACATATCCATAGTTCATGCCTTTTTTTTTCTTTTTTTTTGCTGTGTAGTATTCCATGGTATGAACTACCACAATATTTATTCACTTTTTGAAAGGCATCTCTATTATTTCCAGTTTGGGGATATTAAAAAGGAGACTTCTATGAACATTCGTATTCAATTTTTGGTGAACATAAGTTTATGTTTCTGGAATAAATGTGCAAGAGTGAATATGGATTGAATGGTAGTTTTGTGCTTAGTTTTATAAGAACGTACCAAACTATTTTTCAAAGTCGCTGTACCATCTGATGTTCCCACCAGCAATGTATGATTTCTCCACATCCTTGCAGCATTTGCGATTGTCACTACTTTTAATTGTAGCCATTCTGGTAGGCATATTGTGATAACTCATTGTGATTTTAATTTGCATTTTCCTAATGGCTAGTAATTAAAATTTTCATGTGTTGATTTGCCATCTCTCTTCTCATCAGTAAAAGTCCATATTTTTGTACATTTTATAATGAAATTATTTATGTTCTCCTCATTGAATTTTGAGAATTCTTTTTATGTTCTAAATATTAATTCTTTTTGGAGATGTAGTTTGCCAATATTTTCTGATTGCCTGTAGGTTATCTTTTCATCCTTCTAACAGGGTCTTTTACAAAGCAGAAGTTTTTAATTATGATAAGGTTCAATTTGTGAATTTTTTCAGTTATGGACTATGCTTTTGGTGTGAAGTCAAAAAATTCTGCCAAATGCTAAGTCCTGAAGATTTTTCCTTGTTTTATTTTTTATTTTTAAGATTTAAAAATTTGTTAAAAATTCAGTTGCTTTACATTTTACATTTAAGTCTGTTATTAATTTTGAATTAATATTTTTTTGAAAAAATGCTTATTTTCTTTTTATTTGTATGTATGCATTTATTTATTTTAAGTCCCGGGGTACCTGTGCAGGATGTGTAGATTTGTTACATCGGTTAACGTGTGCCATGGTGGTTTGCTGTCCCTAGCATCCCACCAACTAGGTATTAAGTCCAGCACGCATCAGCTATTTTTCCTGATGCTATCCCTCCCCTAGCC